CTATAGCCATTGACATCTTTATAAAAAAAAGGGTCTCAAATTATATTTTATACATGTGAATTATTCAAAGATAAAGTTGATTTTTAGTCGAATTTAATTTTTGAATTTTTTTATTCTTCCAAAAATTTTAAGCTTTTTTAATATTATGTTTAAAATCATATGATTTTTTGAAAGCTGTCTCGGTTCTCATTTGAACTTCAGTTTTCAGCTTGATAACAGCTTAACTCTTATCAAATCTAACTTAATCATGAAAATAATTTTTTGATCCAAATCGAATAGTTAATGATGGCTCTAGTTGATAGTTATAAGTGCAAATGTAAATACTTTTGAGTCTATTTATATCTAATTTAATTAAAATTTACTTATATTTGACAAGCTATAGAATTATAATTTATATTTTTCTTATATTTATTTTTATATATACATTTAATATTATTTTTATTTAATATTACTATAATTTTATTTTTATTTAATTTTATGATTTTTAAATGGTGAGAATAACATTGCTCCTTTGAAAATAGTTTAGGGACAAAATTGTATCTTAACTCATGAAAATTGGGTCCTACTAAGTACAATAATAAATGTTTAAACAGTGAGGGCAACATTGCTCCAATTTAATTAATTTAGAGGCAATACTACTATGACGAATAATTTAGAAGCAACATTGTTCCTTTAAAAATAATTTAAGAATAAAATTGCACCTTAATCTATATAAATATGTGCAGTGAAGCATGTTTTGAAAAGAAAAAAAAAATTGGGGCAAATGTTTTGAAAATTTTCCGTGTCTAACGAGTTTTTAAAAAAAGTTCGGCGAGTTATTTTATGCGTTTATTAACGAGTTAATATAAATAAATTAATTATAAGTTTAAAGAATGCTTAGGATGTGTACGAGGCCATAACAAATTCACGAATCACCCAGCGATATGCTTTCCTCACAAGTAATGTTCTTGCCATTCATTTCCTTCTGGCAAGAAATACATGTAACTGGAAGATGCTCTGATACTGGCTATGAATATGAATCAAAGTTTATTGATAAAGTGGTAGCAAAATCTAGCAATGATAACAATCAGAGCTATAAGTTGAGGAATATTTATTTGTACACAACATTAGTAGTAGATATGTTTGTGGCCTTCTTGTCACTAACTAGGATGTTAAACGACCACTGGTGTCACGACTGACTCTAGAAGGAATAAATGCACCAACACGTATATATGTCATGGTTTGCACTTTGCACCAAACTAGCAAACAAAAAATGGGAACCACAACATATATCAACGCGGGATTTGGCGGAAATAGCTCGTTTTACTATCGTCTTGTTTCAATCTCAACCTCGTTTTCAATCAGAACTCACATGATTATCTACGCCCGACCGCTAATAAAAAACTGTGTCCATATGAACTGATCATTATTAAAACCCCGATGTTAAGCATGCAAAAAATATAGAATTAAAGTACTTTTTTTTTTTGTACTTTTGAACGAGTGCTTACATCTTGTATTAATAAATGAATTTTTTTAAATAATTTTTTTAGGAAAGCAAAAATTTTTTTGTTATTAATTCGTTAAACTTTACCATTTTTATTGATGTGACATGTCCTGTTAATTTATCCTTTTTTTTTCAGGAACGTTGTACACGTGTAAAAAGATGCACTTTAATCATAAAATATACACGACCTGTCTGTCTAATTCATTATTGAGCCTCATCTGCCATCTTGTTCTTCGATTTTTCTTTTTTGAATTAAAAACACTGGCGCACGAGTGTCTTCCTTGGCAACCAATCCATTCCGTTCTTATCCCCGAAACAACCACCCGAAATATGCATGATTATATAAATCATGACTAAAAGCTTAACATTATTTATTATGAAACAACCGTTTAATTTGCCAGCAGCTGGAGATGGGACAAAAACTCTTGATCACAAGTCATGATCCTCATCATTTGAACAAAAATTGAGTGAAAAAAATATGGAAGTTAAGGAATGGAACAAAATGTTGCAGCAATGTGCGACTCTGGAACTAAAAGGAAAAAATTGAAATGGAAGCATAAAGAAAGTTAGCCTGTGAGGATTAATCGACTGTGGGGATTTGTGCTGCGGGGTATAGTTATAATCATGAAGAGAGATTGTCTGCTTTGCTTTATCGCTTATCCAAAGTTGATGATACCAAAAGGTTCATCATCCAAGAGGCGCATGATCAAGGGGGAAATCACGCTGCTGCTGCAACCACAGTAGACACTTTCACGAGTAGTGAGAATGATGATGATAATCTCAGTGTTACAGGAGCCATACATGGTAATCCTGGGGACCCCCAACTGACACTCATACTCCCCCTGACATTTATTTGCATGGAAGATGCCAGCCTGGGAAGAATTGCACGTGTGGAATCATTTAGCAAGACATTGTGTCAAGACTTGTGAAGCTTTTAACTAATTTATATATGGTCATGATCCTATTGCAATAAAGAAGAAAAGAGTTGCAGTTTCATGCTGCTCGGGCTTCTGCTTGAAACTTGAATCATGTCATATTCCGTATATGGTCCCTAAAGTGTACTGCTGTACTGGTGGTGGTGTAAATGATTTAACAAGAAGCATGACTTGTCTTACTTTTATTATCTCAGTTTGCAACCATCTCGAGGAAGGACTAATAATGCTTCATGATGAAAGATCATGGGCTTTGAATTTGATGGTAGGACTGATCTCTATTTTACATGTTGGTTATATTCATATATATGTGCGCGCGCACGCGCGCGCATCCCAACCATCTCGAGAATTACATATTTTAGATATATCACTTGCACTCGCAATTTCTGTACCAAAGGGCTTGCAGGAACCATTCGGAGAATATTTAGCCTTACACAGTGCCCAGCAATTACCGGTATGCTAGAAGTACCACGAACGGAACCTAATTGTAATTTGCAATGAAGGCATGGCCAGAACTTAATTTTAAAATACCATGCTTGTAGTGCTTCAGTCAAGGCTCACATTCTTTCTCATCACTCATCATCATTCATATTTCTGATGGACTAATTGAGTCACACCTCTTCACATCTTTGTTTGTTAAACTTTTCTGTTAGAAAAGACTCAAGATTGTTTTTGTAAAGACTCAATTCTATGTTGTTATGGATAAACATGATATATTTATCCAAGTTTACTAGATAACCTGATAGTAAATATATAAAACTTGTATTTTCCCATCCATTTTAATTGCCACACTTTTCTTGGCCTTTTTCAAGCACGTGGGAACTATACTCTGAAAAGGCAAAAAGTTGTGAAATATAGTAACATACTCTCAAAATATGACCCCCACTTATCTTTAGATCACACTAGCTGTAATTATGACGGGATGTGTGTTCTTGAAACTAGAAAGTGTCTTCATAAGCACCACATCCATCAAAATAGCAAGGTACCCTCGAAGTTAGAAATCTTCGAGTTCTTAAAAATTAAGATTGCATTGGTAATGTAACTTTTTCAGCTTAATTGACATTAAGGCTTATTTTACCAATACACTACAAACAGTAAAAAAAATTATCAAAATGCTACACCAAAAAAAATATTTATCCAAATATTACATTGAAAATCGTTCATACCAAAATCGAATTTGTAGGTATAATAAAATCGTTCAAGTCAAGAACAATTTTATAATTAAAAATTATTTTTTTAATTAATGAAACGTGAAATCATTCATTGGGTGAACGATTTTAGCTTTTTTTATTGATATGACCTTTTATTTACTGTTAACAATGAGAATATTTGCTTTTTCTTCTTACTTTGCTTTTCCCACATGATTCATTTAACCATGGGATAGATGATCACTTATTATTGTTAATGCTTCTCTAGCACTCGAAGAGTTTGATAGAATATCTGAGTACCTGCAATGATATTGAAGACATACCTAACAATAGATTTAACGTATTAGTAGTGATACTAGGTATACGGCAAGATTTTCACCTTCTTTCACTAGTACCATTGAATAGGAGTGGGTGGGTTAAGAAGTGATGATGATGAGGGCGGTACATAATAAGACTCAAATTGAATAGAATTAAGAGAGGTGAAAAGGGGTGATAATAATGATAAATAGCATATAATGTGATTGACTAAAATTTTATGGCTCTTGTTTTCCTATATTTTTATTTTCAATTGGTGGTTAGATAGATAAATAGTTAACACATCGCTTGTTTAGTTTATCTCGATAAATTTGTAGATGAGGCAACTCAACTTTTGGTAGAGCATGTTAAGGGTTCCTGTTAAATTATTGTTCTCTCATTATAAGTAAGATGTTGCATTGGTTGTGAATAACCCTATCTCAATAATTAATGTAATGAGAGCATTTTGAATGAGAATTAATCATTAGCCAGTATAAATCCTCTGTTATATCAGCCTAAAATAAACAATAAGACATTATTACATTATAACAATTTTTTATAAAGAAAAAGGATGGTACTAGTAGAAGAAGGTGAAAAACTTACCACATACCTAATATTACTACTAATACGCTGGATCCATTGTTGAGTATATCTTCAATAGCATTGCATGTACTCAGATGTTCTATCAAACTCAAAGAGTGTTGGAGGAGCATTAACAATAGTAAGTGACCATCCATCTCATGCTTAAATGAATCATGCAAGAAAAGTAAAGCAAGAAAGGAAAGTAGAGATTCTCATAATTAATAGTGAATAAAATGTCACATTAATAAAAAAGCTAAAATCATTCATCCAGTGAACGATTTCACTTTTCATTGAATAAAAAAAAATTTTTTGATTATAAAATCATTCTTGATCTGAATGATTTCTTTATAGCAACAAACTCATTCTCGGTATGAATAATTTTTAGTGTAGTATTTGGGTAAATATTTTTTATGGCACAACATTTCGATAACTTTTTTTATTGTTTGCAATATGTTGGTAAAAAAGCCGGCATCTAACTTCATATCAGTGACAACCATCGGAAAAGGGCTAAAACCCTAAAAAAAAAAAAGTTGCCATTTAATTTTAATCTCATCAGTCACATAATATGAATAGAGAATATATTTACCCGGATGAATGATGATAGTGAACGACAAGTTTATGAACATCTATACACATTTTCACTATTACTCCGCTAAGGAAATGATCCTACCAAGTATCAGCCATGCTCTTAATCCTAAGTCAATAAGGGACAGCCAGGATTATTGCTCCACTATACTGGAGCTGTTCTTTTATCCTCTGATAAATAACTCCCTATCACCATAGATGAATCACAATTTTTAGGATGATGAATCACAATTAACTTAACATGCATTGGCACATGCTATGTAAAGATCTTACCAAAAGTCCTTGCATGAACAAACCCCATTCCTGAAATGATGATAGCGCACACGGTCCCTCATAATGATATCGCGGCTGTATATTTGAGAGATGAGCTTGAAAGCAGAGTGGCAGTCCTCACAAACCCTCAGATTCTTTACAACGCGGAGTGTTGTTCCTGGTTCTGTACGAAGGAGTCCAAAAGCAATTGCAATCTTTTCGCTGTGCAGACTAAGTGCAGTTTCCTTTTCTTCCTCATCAATGTCGAAGGAAACCTGAAGTCTTTGGAGAATAGCCTTCCGCACGCAGCTTCTCCATAATACTTTCCAACATCGAATAGATTTCTTTCGTTTGTGGGTGTGACCCATCTCCCATTTTAAACTCATGAACTGCACCGCCCAAATCCATCATGGTACTTCCAGGAATAGTCTTGATTCTTCTCTCCTTCATCAACTTTCTAACTCTTGCAACATCATCCCATCTCTCTGCCTTCGCGTAGATGTTTGATAATAATGTATAACGACCACTGTTTTGAGGCTCCATATCAAGCAAAATCCATCCCACCTTTTCTCCTAGCTCTACATTTCTGTGTATTCTGCAAGCATTTAGAAGCGCCCCCCAAACGGCTGCATTGGGTTCCATTGGCATAGAATCTATAAACTTCTCTGCCTCCTCAAGAAGTCCAGCTCTTCCCAGGAGGTCGACCACGCAACCATAATGCTCTATCTCGTGCTCAATCCCGTATACTTCTTTCATTGAATGCAACAAGGCTAGACCTCTGTCAACCATTCCTGCATGTGCACAGGCATTTAGAACGCCAACAAAAGTAATTCCATTTGGCTTCAGCTTTTCCTCATTCATCTTCGTGAACAGCTTGATTGCTTCATCTGCTTGGCCATGACTAGCAAGCCCCCCTATCATAGCATTCCAAGTGGAAACTTCCTTCACTGGTATATTCTCAAAGACCTCCCACGCCATGTCTAAACGCCCACATTTGGCATACATATCAACCAAAGCAGTCCCCAAGACTGCCTCCATTTGAATAAAATTCCTTTCCATATATGAATTAATCCATCGACCAAGATCTAAAGCTCCCAAATTAGCACAAGCAGTTAGCATGCTTGCTAGTATATACTTTCTTGGCCTTATATTTTGTCGTTGCATTTCGTTAAAAACTTCCAAAGCCTCTTTAAAACACCCTTCTTTGACATACCCATCTATGATAGCACTCCAAGAAATTTCATCTCTGTCACTCATATCATCGAACAGTTTCCTTGCACAATCAATCATCCCGCACCTAGCTAACCCGCTTATCATTGCATTCCAAGAGCCTACGTTCTTCTCCGCCATACTCTCAAACACCTCACGGGCAGCTTCCACTAGTCCACACTTCAGATATCCATCGATCATGGCATTCCAACAGATGACGTCGGATTCACCATCTTTATCGTCAAGAATTTTCCTGGCCTCTTTCACTAGCCCAAATGACGAATACATTTGAATCCCGGCACTCTTAATGTGACCATCCCCACTGAGCCCGTGTTTCACCACATGGGCATGAAATTGAATCCCTTCTTCAACAGAACCCGCAAGGGCACAAGCCTTGAGCAAAGTGGGATAAGTGAAATTATTAGGCCTAGAATTGAAGACCAGCATGTTTTTATAAGACGATATGGCCATATCTGGGTCGTTGTTCTCCAAGCATCCCTTGAGAATTATATTCCACACGAACACGTTGGGGCTTGGGATATGATGGAAAACTCTGATTGCCAAGGCAAAGTCGTTGAAATAAGGATTCGCATAGCATTTGACCAAGGTGCCAGATACATAATGATCCTGAAAGTGCCCAGTTCTGAGGATCATAGCATGAGCCTGTCTGAGATGCTGCGGAGAATGGCCGCATTTGTTATTGAGGATGTCTAGGACTTTCTTGTGCGAGAGCCTTGATGTGAGAGTACTGTTCTGCGCTGGGAGCTCTTCGGGTCTCAGGCCAGATGGAAAACTCGTGGCTGTGGTGCTCATCTTGAGGCGACTCCCTTATCCAGATTCTGCAAAAGGTTTATAGCACTGAACTGAAACTCTGGGACATGTAGAAGTCACAGTCCAAGCAACGGGCTAAATGAGTTACCTTGAACAGTAATCTGATTCTGCAAGTCATGTGAATTAAGTACTATCTCTGTCATTTTTCATAACGCAAAGTTACCTGCATTGCACGTGCCAAGGAGCTCTTCTACAAATTTTGTCCCTACGTGAGAAGCACACTAACTAGCCAAATTTGTACATCCAACTTACGTGCAGGAATTGCTCAAGGTGGAGCCATTCGTAGTTGACATGATGGCATAAATAACATCAATTTGAGTATTGACTATGAGTTGTGTAGCGAGACGGGGCAACCAGTAGATACACGAACACCTGGTTTAAAAAAGGAAAATAATTTTTACTCATGTTACAGTTGTTACATTATCCGAATCAATTATGATTACGATCATTACACCAACATAAATTTGGAAGGAAGCATTCAATTGTGCAACAATTAATTTTCCGTCCACCTCTACTTGGGTTTCTTTCATATATATTCCGTGTAATATACATAACTATCCAATTATTTCAACATCTAAGAGAGAAAACGTCATTGGGGAAGGCCATCCAAATTGTTGATGATGGAAAGCCATGGATGACAAAACATCATATCTGTTTTTCAGTTTTAAAAAACCTTTGGAACGGAGGCCCAAAGTCCAATTCCGAGCTCAATTAAATCAAGCAATCATCCATAAGGTGGAATTCGCAAAGGCAACGCTGTAACACAAGCAGATGTACTAGTCAAAGTAGGATGGATGTATATTCTACACCTCTTCCAGCCACGCTTTTGCTGTTTCAAGTTTCAACACACAAAAAAATGATGGCTAGCAGCTTAGTTTGAGTAAACCATGTACAGCAACTATACAGCGAGATAGCTCCAAAAACCAAAAGGCATCGCAGGACACCCACTGAACCCACAATTACTCTAATGCTTCACTTGGTATATGCCCCATGTCAATAGTTAATGGCTCTTTGGGTCCTTCTTCGCTCATTACAAGCTCTAAGCCATCGCCGCAGTTCTCTGCATCAGGTTGCAGAGTCACACGATAGTCACCAAAATCAATGCCAGCTTTAACATTCTGATCTCCATTCTGATCTCCAGTCTTCGTTGCTTCCATGAGCCTTTCCTTTTCCTTCTTGCTTTCTTCCACAAACGGCTGCAACATGATTATTTACAAGAGATTTAGGTTCATTGACCAACTCATTCCTTTTTATTCATTTTTGGTCTCCTCTCTTTTGTCCCGCATGAAGGCAAATTTCAATGGATTTCAGCCTCAAATTACCTGTCTCTCAATCTCAGTCATATTGTTCCACGCATCAATGGCCATGCGTAGAAAATTTGAGCGAGTAGATGCCTCATTACAAGTCTTCAGCCGAGCGCATTCCTGCTTGATGAATATCTGATATGCAGTTTTACATCCCTGCGGAGCACCTCGACGTTTCTTTACTTTCTTGTCCTCTTGAGTTGCCTGTACCAATACTTGCTGTTCTGCAAGCTCGCTCCCTGCTAAGTTGCAATGCAATTCCAGTAATTGCTTAAATATCTCTAAACTCACTTAATACCTTCTAAAAACCCGTCCAGCAAAAAACTAAGTCAGTAACGTAACTGACGTGATGTCTAAGCTTATTACATGATAGATCATAAAGCCAAACCTGTCATTTCCTTGCACATCTTTGTCTCCACCTCACCGTCTTCATTATCCATTAATTCAAATAAACTAACCTCATATTTACGCTTCCTCTCTGGGCTTATGCCATCTGTGACAAGACCTACAGTAACGGGCTAAAATAAATAAAGGCGGCGACACAAACACTACACGTATTTTTGAGCTAGTAGTGAATGTAAATCACGAAGCGTGAAACTTTCAAGAAGCAGTCCTGTATACCAAACACATTTGTAATGTGCTGGACATCATTAAAATTAAAATCTGCAGAAATCGGTGTTTTGGTTCAACCTGAGGTGGGGCTAGTAGCAGCTTTCTGTGCTGGATCCCTGTAGTGGTAGAGTCGCTCAAACTGGTAAAGAAGTAGAGCGTAGCACTTTTCAAGTTGAACAGGTAACTTTGCGTTACTGCCTTGCAACTTTAAGGCAGAAACAAGTTCATCCCATTTCCTGTCTCTGCTGACCTGAACAATTTCGCACAACACAACACATAGAATCATAACATATTCTTCAGTTTATTTATCTAGTTCCAACAGAATACTACCATATTAAAAAAATCCTATGCTAGTGCACATACCACATTAGAAAAATCCCTTGAATGAGGTCAACGCGCTTAAAAAATAGACAAGCCAAAAGGCCCATCCCATGCACATTCCACACAAATTAAACAGAGCAATGTCAGTTTTAGGGCAAGATATACCTGATGATATCCTCCTCTTCTGGTCACCTCCGAGTAAAAGAGGAACATGTCCAGCGAAGTTTCTCGGGCATCAATACTGCCGAGTGATTGGGAAAAGACATGGGTAAATCAGAAAAGTATAATAAAGCAATGATTTTTAAAAGCATTTCCAGGAATAAAACCCCGAAGAAGAAGAAGAGATATTCCCACGTGGTTGATTAGCAGCGAAAGATTATAAACCCAGAGAAGAAAGCCCGTGAAGCTGGAATTCGACCCACCGGATCACCGACGAAGAGAGGCGAAATGAGCAAATGGGAAGCAAAATCAACAAAACAAGTTTAGGACACTCACATTAGACCGAGTCCGTAGGACTCCCAGACCTGGTTGAGTTTTTGGTAAAAATAGTCCGAATCACTAGACGGGCGCTGTTTTGGAGAATGAGGGGGATCGATTCGAGGGGCCTTGATGTTATCGTTAGGCTTCCTTCTCGCGTACCCTCGCATGTTGGAGGAAATGTGAAGAAATCCGATCGCTTATAGCGACGAGAACCCTCTTTCAGCTTCACTGCCTCAAAACAAGCGTCTAGTTGGAGACTGACCTCTATGCTCACTTTGCATGGAAAATGGCGACACGGGTGTCCTTCCTACTGCCTGGTGACTACACGAAGCTGCTCCGATGGACGGTTCAGATTTCATTTTCCTTGCTTCTTGGGACAATATCATCTAAGGACCCCAGAGAGTTTTATATCAACGGAAAAAAAAAGAAATCTTAAAATTTAAAATTCCACTGCACTTCTAACTACTCAAATGAAAATAAGATGTTGTGAAAAAATATATAATTACCCCTAAAATTTTATAGATGTATAAAGTGATAGAAATTTATGGGTGAGTCAAAATTCAATATTTAGTATTTTTAATTCATTACAAGATATTGGAGGATCAATGAATGAATCCAGAGCTAAGAAGAAAAAAGAAGCTCTAAATTTATTAATTAAAGATATTCTAAATGATTAAAAAGTTTTAAAGGCAAATGAAGTTCTAGAAGATTAAAGAAAGAATTTTAACATATTAGGCCTAATGCAAAACACTTAGGCCCATGAGTCCAAAGTAATTTAATTTTTATTTTCATTTTAAATTTAGGAAATTAGTTTATCTTATTTTTATTTTAAATTTAAGTTTAGAAAAATTATTTTATTTTATTTTAGTTTAAATAAGGATATAATATATCCATTAAAGATACGATCTATCTATTTGAAATCCTAGATTAACTATGATTGCATCATTTAAGTTTTTAAAACTTTATTTAAATAGTTAAGTCATTTGTATTTTTCATACTTTGATTTGAATTTATGAATTGAATTTTTCAATTGTAAGACTATTTTGATTAGTGTTGTGCTCCATGAGATAACACGCCGTGGGGTTTTGGATTATTGTGAGCTATCATTTGGTTGTATTATATCATAAACAATCATCCATTCAGGTTTTAACAAGTAATTATATATAATTAACAACAAACTATTTGAAAATAAATAAGTGGCAAAAACTATTAGTACAGATTTAATTATACAGATGTTGGTCTTACATAAACAATAATCCATTTGAATTTTGATAAATAACCAAACACAATTAATAATGACCCATTCGAAATTAACAAGTAACAATAATTGGTAGCATATTTTTAATTATACACATGTTGATTCTATACAAACAAGCATCAATTCAAGTCTTGACAAGTAATCATTTGTAACTAACAACAGTTAATTTAGAATTAACAAGTGACCATAATTAATTAGCATATGTTTAAGGCTGTGTTTGATTGAGGGGAGAGGATGCGATGGAGAGAAGGGGAGGAGAGGGTTTTTATGTTACCTTATTTGATTTTGTTAAAAGGAATGGATTTTTAATGATACGTTGTTTGGTTCAAGAGAGAAAAGGAGGGTAAGTAATAATTAATTTACTATTATACCCCTACATATTAGCTTTTATTTTTTTTATTTCTATCTTATAAAAATTAATTTACACTAATAGTCATTTGATTAAATAAATAATAAGTAAATAAACTCTCATGAAAAATTTCATGAAAGTTGATTTCTTTGATTGAATCATAAAGTTGATAAAAAAAATTCTAAAAGTAACAAACTATTTAATGACTTCAAGCTTTCACCTTCCTTCACATCTCTACTAATTTTCAGTTGCTTAGCTTCTATTAAATGACTTTTAATTCTAGATTAGCAAAATGTAGACCTCCTAATCCTCCATTCACTTCGATGATGGATGACTTGAAGCTTAAAGTCAAAGTTTGTAGCAAGCAACGACTACTTCCTCTTTATTACACAAATTTTGATTTCAACGGTGGCTGTAACATCCTTTTTTAAATAAGGCTTTAATTGTAAAAATTGAAGCGTGATTGGAAAATTAAATTGACAATTGATATTATTTTGAGATTTGATTGAAGAATAAATTGTATTTAAGGTTAATCATGAGTTCAGGCATCAAACTATAACTTAAAATAGGCTTAGGCTGGTATATTAAGGTTGAATAAGGTCTAGGATAGGTATTAGGCTAGATCAGGTCTAAATTCATTGGGCTTAAGTGGGATTTTTATGTTTGTGCCATGTGTTGAGGTGCATGGTGTACCTGTTGTAGTGTATGGCTTGAAAATTTAAATCCTTCATTCTCTCTTTTAATAGAATAAAGAGGAGGGAGTTCAATAAGGATCCTTTATGAAAATTCAAGGGCTCTAACAAGGCATTCAATTCTAGGAAGTTGAGAGTTGACTTCGGTGCATTTAAGGCTTGAGGTAAACAGCCTAACCCACCTTCTACCTCATTCTCTCTATTTCTAGCTAGGTTATGCTAGGTGTAAGATAGGGTTTTTTGTTTATGATGTTGCCCAGCCCTTGGGTTTGAATTTTTGGGATGTTTTGAGGGTTAAATAAGTGTAACTTAAGCTATTTTAATGTTGTTTATGATGGTAGAAGGGTTAAATCTAAAATCCTATATCTAATTAGTGATTTTAATGAAGACTTGGGTATGTCAGAGCTAAATAAGGTATTAAAAAGTATATGTAACATCCAAAAAATTTTAACCCTAATTTATTAACCCAATTAGGGTAGTTAGTGAGTTAATGAGGTGTGTGACCATAAGAGCTTAATTTGGTATAAATTTTTATGATTTCAGCCTTAGAAGTAGGTTCGGATCGATGGTGGGCCACCTGAGCAAGGAAAGAGGAAGAAAAAGTGAAGAGTTGTGTTCTGTGCTACATGTCGTGGCACGTGGTTGGTCTACCACAGTGTACGGAGACAATTCAAATGTAACGGGCTTCTCTGTACTATGCATCACAGTAGAGGAGGCACACGTCTAAAAATTAGATAAATCAACTCATGAGTTGTGTGAAAACAGAAGAGAGAAAGAGGAGGAAAACGAAGAGCTTGATTTTGGCTCTGTTAAGACACGATATTTAGTCCTATTGTTGATAGATTAGAGCTCACAAACACCTAAGAGAGGTTTGTTTTGGCACCATTTGAGCTCGTTGAAGCTTGGGAAGTTAATATAGTGAGGGATAAACCTTTAACCTCATAAAGGTTTAAGGTAACTGGGAAAAACTTAATTTTTATAGTTGAATGTTAATTGTGTTTGTGAAATGTGATTTATAAATTTAAATTGATGATATATATTGGCAAATACTTGATTATGAAATGGTTTTGAGAAAGAGAAAACCTTATTCTACCACCCTTGATGTTTTCTGAAACTAATTGTGATCTATTAATAGGGGTGGAGAATTGTGATGAAATATTTGTTAAAGTGTATAATGTTTGTGTTATGTAAGTTTATGTGTTGAAAAATAATTATTAAAATACATATTATGTGTGAAATGTGTATAGTATGGTTATTGACAGGAGTTCGCCTAGGGAGAGAAGTAGATTGGTTGAAATTCAAGTGGTATTAGCAGTGATCATTGGAATCAGGAACTAACCTTGGCATTAACTGTTGGAATCAGGAGATAGCCCTTATCCCATAGTTGATTTGGGACTGTCTCACTTGTTCTGTGAGAGATTTGAATCTAACTAGTCTCTACTGGTTCATGAAGAGACTAGATTTGGGGTACGACACTCCATGGTTGTTAGTACTAGGGGAAACCAGATTATATAAGTGTGTGAGTTAACCCTAGCCCTATAGCTTTTCACAAGTGAAAGGCTGGGTTAGTCCATGAAGAATGTAACCGCATGATAGCCACCGGTTTTATATCGAAGGTAACAGGAGGATATAAGATTGGCATATGATCATATATATAAGTCCGACCACATAGTTATTAGTTTTATGGTCCGACATGTGTTAAAAGCGCATGATTGTTATTTTTATGACCCTATGTTATGTTTTTGTGAAATGACATGATATGGTATTTTGTGGCAAGCCTAGTCACATAGTTGTTAGTTTTGTAAACCGTGGCCTAATACTATGTGATATATGTACTTATGTGCCTATTTGCATCTATTTATAATTAATATATAACTGTAAGGGTTAAGTGAAACTTGGTTATTGAGTGGTTGTACTCACTCCTCAATTCTCAATATTTTCAAAACCTAGCTCATCGGATCCAAGTCAGGAAAAACATACGAGGCTTAGGATTGGTGGAGTAAATCCTCTATATGCCTCTCTTTTGCTATTTACATGTGTATTTGTCAATGTAATTGCCAACTAATTGTCATGATCAGTGCACTACTTGCATAATTTTGTGTTTAACTAGTGTATTTTGTGCCTTGGATTAGTGAATTTTTATTGTGAACTTATGGATAGAGCCAAAATACTTGTGTAAATAGGAACATATGTATTTTTGAAAAATATGAATGAAATGGTTAAGTTTGTACAACTTTTCCTCCCCTTCTATATTTTGTGAAAATTGGGGTTGAGTGATGATTTTGTGAAATAAGTGTGCTTGATTGCGTGTGGTGTGCTGTATGAGTCCGCAAGAGTCTATTGAGTATGATCGAAGGGTTGGTGTAGGCTATTGGTACGTGTGATTAAATTGGGACACCTCACTTAGAAAATTTTGTAAAAATGTGTCAAAATGAGTTTCGGTATTCAACTTTTGATAGAAACTAAATTTGAGTGTGAAACCAGTGCTATTAGCTAAAGTTAAGAAAAAGCTTCGTGTAGACACCAAAACCACCTCAATCGAATGTCGAACAGAGATTTAGGACACATGAAAAGTCCGCTCCCTATGTTATTAAATAACAGCACTGATCTGTTAAATTTCATGCAATACGCCGCAGCGCATGGCACAGAGAAGACACGTCGCGACACATGTGTCATTTTCTGTATAGAAATGATTTTTGAGTTCTAAAACTCATTATTTGGGTCCCAATTAGTTTTCAAGCTTTCGCTTTGTTTTTAAAACTTGAATTTAGAGTCCTTAAATTTATATTTGAGATTTAAAATGGCAGATTGGGATTCCTTTAAAATAATTTTGAGAAATTCTTCTTTTAAAACCTTGGACAACTATGATTTGGAGTTAATTTGTGGTTTAACCTAATGGAGGTTACATATAATGATTATGACTTCAAGGGTTTGAATGGGTGTGATAGATTTGTGTTGTTTAGATTGATTAAGCTAAGCTTAAGAT